AATCTTTTTTTGCCCGAATTCCATTTGGGTGCATGCCTACATACTTTTGCTAAAAAATGTCCTCTTTTTCCCCACCCCAAAATTTTTGGGGGAGGTTGCCATATGCCTTTTCTTTTGCCATTTTGTAAAAGGTTTACTTTAGATAGCTGTAGAATTCAAGACCAGGGTCCTGGTAAAAAGAGAAAATGGCTAAGTAAGCAACATGATCAGATGCAAATGGATTTAATGACCAAGCACAATAAAATGGGTCCTCAATAAGGTACTTGTGCTGGTTTAAGGACTGCCCGGTATACTTGCTTTATTGACTCACTACATGGGAAACCGGAATATGAGAACTCTAGAGACTGCATATTTTAAAACAGCTTGTAATAGCAAATCCTATATTTTTCCCTTACGGCTTCAGCTACAGTTCTGCCTTTAAAGCTTTGTTACCTGTGGAACAGTTGAGAAGTTACCTGCTGAGAAGGGTATGAATGCATCGTTCCTTTTGAACTTCCCATCGGCATCAAGAAAATGTTCTGGATAAAACTCATCAGGCTTTGCAAAGTAAGCTTTGTCTCTCAATATAGAGGACAGCAATGGAATAATAGTGGTTCCCTAGAGGAAAGCAATTGCAAACTAGAATTTAATTTAATTATATATATATATATATATATTTGTACAGTATACAGCATTCTACCATTATGTAAAGTACAGGCATTGTTTGATCGATCAGATGTGACTGTCAAAAATTTCATCATGGCCTATTAACTTCGAATCAAGACTGACCAAGAGCTCACTAAGTTGTTCAAATAGAGGATCTTTGATTGGAGATTTGTTTTCAATTCAATCACATTGAATGATTAATTCAATGTACATGTGTGTGTGGTGACCAATGAATAGGTGAGGTAGTTAGTAGGCTGTCTTGGTGTCAAACGTTGACGGCTTTTATGCTTCAGTAATGGCAATCTGTCCTTGTCTGTCACTGTTTATAGCTATATTTGGAGACTGTCAATAGTTTCTGTATTCATCTACTGTAAACATATTTGAAACTGAAACTACCCCAGAATTCTAAATAAATTTTTTTATAGTAAACCTCTTGGCTTAAAAAGATTTATGTTTGCCTTTAATATGTGTCTTAAAAGATGTTAGCTCTTCAAAGCACACCTTCTTCTACAGAGCTTAGATTAAAGCTTCAAAATATTTGTGTAATATCCCATCTGCAAGTATAAAGAAAGCAGCTCAGGCTTCATTACTCACCTTCAGTCTGGAGCTGTCCCAGAGTTTTCTACACAAAATGTCTTCAGTTTCCTGTGTTAAGCGGTGCCCAGCTTCACGTAACGTGAAAGTTTGAGGAGATCCTGTTTGTGAAGGACATCATGGCTCTAACCCTTGAGGCGGTGTCACCATGGCACTTTGTATTCAAAGGGCAGTGGGATCACTGGGGTGGTGGAAGAGCTAAGCCCAGAGTTGGGCTTTAAAACACTGATAGCACAGACTACAGGTACCACAGACTTTCAGGCAACAGGGTACAACAGCTTGTCACTTTGTCAGATCAGGCAATGGTCTCACTAAGCCTCCTGTCCATCCAAGAAACAGAAAGTCCTAGACATGCACTTCAAAGCTGTCCTCCTCCAATGTTGCAACACATTACAAAGATGCACTGCCTGAGGGCAGTTTCCCTCTTTGTGGGCCAAACTTTGTTATCCTTACTTAGATTCTTCTCTGAGAGCCCTCAGACATCCGATATTACTTTTAAATTTTACTGGTTCAACCAGCTGTCCTATCACAATACAGTATATTACACAATCTATATTAATAACTCACCTTTGGAATTGAATAGCCTCTGAATGTGATATCACAAGTCGTTTCACGTGGAAGGTTAGTTGGAGCAATATCACCAAAGCGCTGCACTTCACACACAACAGCGTCAGTGTAGGGCATGTGCTTTCTGTGCTCTAGCTTTGGTTGTGATGTGCCTATAACTTTTTCAATTTCTTTCTGTACTTTTTCTGTTAGATATTTAAAAATAAATTAGTATTGGTTTTTATACTGGCCATGTCTTATGTAGCAGTTTATAACAAAAATACATACTTAAGTAACAATTTTAACATCATGGCATACATAATACCTAACAAACAAAACAAAAAGAGAGGGGCCTTAAAAAAGCAGTGTGGCTTCCACATTTGCAAATTTATGTAATAAAAACCTCAGTCTTCAGGTGCCATTGAGTTGAGTATTATCAAGCGTATAGCCTTTTATACAAAGCTGGTTCTTCTGAATGTGCTTAAAAACTTGGCCTGTCTTTCAATGTCTGAGGACATGTGATACAAAATTCCAGAGAATTAGGACAGCACGAGAGAAACATTGAAAGTAACAATTATATAGTGAATGGGAGTTAGCATTGTTCAAACTGTTCTTGTCTGTTTTGTCAGCAGTTTGGCTGAAGATGCCACAAATTGGCTAAAACCTGAAATTGAATCTGAACACAATTAAAATAATCCTTTACTCCTGTAAGCTTGTTGGGTTGGTGGCTGTCTTCAGGCTTTCTGCTGGGCTGGCTCTTGCCCTGCTGCACAGGTGGTTCTCTCTCAGGGGACTCCTGAGGTTGAGCGATCTTCTATTCCAGCAACTCTGCCTGGAGGTTGGCTCCTTTCCTGGGCCCCCTGCCAGGCTCCTGCATCTCAGCCTTTCACTTCATCTTGCACCCAATCTCTCCTACTGCTGAGCATGCTCAGTCACACTTAAAGGCTGATCTGACCCCATGCCAAGCCTCCTGTTTGAGGATTGGCCAAAGTCCTCTAAATGTGCAGGACAGCCCCTCCTCACCCCTGCCCACTGCTTCTAGAATTCTTCTCCAAGTTTCTAGAACAGGGGAAGGTATCAAGGACCTGACCTGCAGAGCCCTCAGCCCTGGCTTAATTTTACCCACTGTCTCAAGCCTGGGGCTGCTACTCAGCCTTTCCATCCAAAAAACATTAACTAGTTCCCCTGGGTATCTAGATGGGTGCTACATATTTAAATGTTGCATGCATTTCCAATACATTATTTTCCTTGGTACTGCACATATTTTGAAATTAAAAGTCCAAAGTGGTTCTATTAGATTTAAATCTGGATGGAAAAGTTCGCTTTTTGTTTTTTCCAGTGCTGCCTGGGATATCTCATAACTGCAATACCTACAAAACAAAGTGAAGCTAAAGCTGAATAAAAGCCTCTCAAAAGCTGCAGGTGCTGCAAGTGAGGGTTGTCATAGACTTTTATGGAAGCTTCTGAGATGCTTTGGAGCACCATGAAAGCGACATGGGGTATAATTTGTGAAGCAAAGCAAAAACAACGTGTAAAACAGGACTATAAACTAACCATTTTATTTATTGACAGGGTCTTTGATTATCATTCAGAGCACTTTAAAATAGCTTGTCCTAAGCCATATTTGAAGCATGTGTAAACAAGCCCTAAAAGTGGTGCAGCATGCACCAAATTCATGCACCTGTCTAGAACATGTACTTGAACTTGGCTTATCTATCTGCCCTAGTCTTTTTGAATTTCAGGGAGTATCTTTCCAAGTTCCACTATCCTAAAATGAGGAATAATCCATTCTTTTCAGAATTTGTGTTGGGAAGAGTAGATGTAGATACCATTGTTCTAAAAAGGTTCTACTGTTCTTCATATTGGTTCAGTGGGGAGGTTTGGGTTTGATTCATTTAGCTCATCTCACCAAGCCTGTGTGGTTATTCTTTCTAAAATATATAACAATTACATGTTCAGTTGGTGAAAAAAACTGCCATGTGGTTTGTACATCTGCACAATGCTTGTGACTTTTATATACAGTAGTTCAGTGAGACCTTATGTGCTTTGAATGCTATGAATTTAAAATAGCCACGAACAGATCAAGGAATTAGCAGAGCCATTAGTATATGCATTTTCTTACTTTGGATTTCTGGGTATTTAATCATGATCAGGAGGCTCCATCTCAGAGTGGTGGATGTAGTTTCCATTCCAGCACCAAACAGTTGGGCCACCAGGGCAGTTAAATTGTCATCATGATAATACAGTGTAGTTTCTGGTTTTCCCTGAAAAATGAAAAATAAATATCTTTGAGCATTTATTGAATTGTTGCTTTTCATAAGTCAAATTTGCATTATACCCAACTCCAAGCTCTGGAATCTACCCCCCCCCCCCAAAAAAAAAAAAAAGACTCTCCACGCTGTATTTTATGCTATTTGTTATTATACTTATCTATTCCAGAAGTCTTCAATCCAGACATGTAAAGTTGCAGGTCCTCTTTCTGACATGAGCACTGATCTCGCACCATTACATAGTAATGGAACATGTGTCAAAAAATAAGAGTTTACTACATGATCTAGATTGAAGGTTTTTTTACACCTGCCAGAGGGCATTAAAAAATGAGTCTGAAAAGAGAAGTTTATATACAGCAAGAAAAAGTGGATGGGATTACGCAGAGTGGATCTCTAGTCACAATGTCATTGCCCAAAGCATGCATGTCCCCCCCTTTGCAATTCCTTTCACAATCAACTATTGTCATCCTCACCTCTTGCTGTGTGCTTAATTGCACGATAACCCATGTAAACAATTCCAGTGCAAGAGGAGGAAAAGAAATGAACCCTTTGGACTTAATAACTGGTATGACCCCTCCCTATGCAGCAATTGCCAAGTAAGCATCAATAAGATTTTCTGTGATAATTTACATCCCAGTGCGTCTTTCCTCTGCTTGGTAAATGTTTGTCTCATAAAATCGTGCATTTGTGCTGAGCATTTGCAGCAATTTTGTTGTGGGCTCCTGGTAGAGGATCTATCAATGTAGGGAACATGTCATACAGCTGAAAAAGAGAGAGGGAATGCATACTTCCTCTTTAAACGTTTAAATATTTTCTTTTTATTTGAACATACACAGATTATTGTATATATATAGCTGACACTATATCTTTATATATTATATAGTATATATTATATATATATATATACATAAAATCAAGCACCTAGTGCATGCAGACTGCTTCTATAAACATTTGGGAAATAATTGGTCGTTCTCAGGAGCTCAGTGAATTCAAGCGTGGTACCCAAAAACAGGTGATAGGTTGCCATCTGTGCAATAAATCCATCCGTGAAATTTTCTTGCTACTAAATATTCCACAGTCAACTGTTAGTGGTATTATAACAAAGTGGAAATTAGCTCTGGGAGAAGATCCATTAAGCTAGGGGTTCAACATGTTTTTTCCTCCCTGCACTGCAACTGGGAACAACAGCAACTCAGCCACAAAGTGGTAGGGCACATAAAATGACAGAGTGGGGTCAGCGCATGCTGAAGCGCACAGTGTGCAGAAATCGCCAACTGTCTGCAAAGTCAATAGCTAAAGACCTTCAAACTTCGCGGGGCCTTCAGATTAGCACAACAACAGTGTGTAGAGAGCTTCATAGAATGGGTTTCCATGGCCGAGCAGCTGCATCCAAGCCTTACATTACCAAGTGCAGTGCAAAGCATTGGATGCCGTAATGTAAAGCACACCGCCACTGGACTCTAGAGCAGTGGAGACGTGTTCTCTGGAGTGACGAATCATGCTTCTCTGTCTAGAAATCTGATGGATGTGTCTGGGTTTGGCAGTTGCCAACAGAATGCTACTTACCTGACTGCATTGTGCCAAGTATAAAGTTTGGTGGAGGGGGGATTATGGTGTGGGGTTATTTTTCAGGGGTTGGGCTTAGCCCCTTAGTTCCAGTGAAGGGAACTCTTAAGGCGTCAGCATACCAAGATATTTTGGACAATTTCATGCTCCCAACTTTGTGGGAACAGTTTGGGGATGGCCCCTTCCTGTTCCAACATAACTATACACCAGTGCACAAAGCAAAGTCCATAAAGACATGGATGAGTGAGTTTGGGGTGGAGGAACTTGATTGGCCTGGACAGAGTTCTGACCTCAACCCAATAGAAACCCTTTGGGATGATGAATTAGAGTGGAGACTGTGATCCAGGCCTTCTCATCCAACATCAGTGCCTGACCTCACAAATGCACTTCTGGGAGAATGGTCAAATATCCTCATAGACACACTCCTAAACCTTGTGGACAGCCTTCCCAGAGGAGTTGAAGCTGTTATAACTACAAAAGGTGGACCAACTCAATATTGAACACTACAGACTAAGCCTGGATGCCATTAAAGTTCATGTGTGTGTAAAGGCAGGCATCCCAATACTTTTGGCAGTATAGTGTATATAGGTATACAGGAGTTAGACAAAAAAATGGAAACACTATATGATTTGCAGGTGTGAAAGTGACAACATGTTTTTTATTGAAAGCAGAAGTGATGTAACATTCTTTTTCTCCCACTGTATGATGAGACACCTAACTAACATGTGGGAAGCCTCACTTTTGTCATTCACTGTGTGCACTGCTAGTAATACAGAGTCATGTCAGAGCTTACAGAGCTTCAAAGAGGGCATGCTGTTGGTGCCTGCTTAGCTGGTGCCTCTGCGACTGACGTTGCCAATGTATTTGCCATGTTGTGAGGTACAGTATCAAAGGTTATGAATATATAGGCAAGTCAAACATTGCCTGCTAAGCATAAGCGCGGTAGACATGGCCAACTGACCAAAAGAGATAAAAGGACATTGTGCAGGAATAAAACAACTGCTGCAAAAGTCACTGCAGAGCTCAATCTCAGTCTTTCAAAACCCATGTCAACAAAAACTGTGAAGAAGGAACTCCATAAGCAAAATATTCACGGGCAAGCTGCAATTGCCAAACCACTAGAGACCGATATTAATGCTTAGAAGAGGAAAGAGTGACACAACACCCATAAATCCTGGACTATCAATCAATGGAAGACTGTAGTATGTTCAGATGAAACAAGCTTCACGCTGTCCCCAACCACTGGATGTGTTTATGTGTGGCAAACACCATCCCAAGCTTATGACCAAGACTGTCTTGTGCCAACGGTAAAGCAGGGTGGTGGCGCAATCATGATTTGGGCAGCCATTTCTTGGTATTTTGCAGGCCCCATCATCACTTTGAAAAGGTAGAGTCACTGCCAGCAACTATGTGCAAATTGTGGCCGACCATGTGCACCCTATGGTGTAAAACATTGACAGCACCATTTACCAAGATGGTATAATGTTCCAATTCACACAGCTGGGATTGTCAAATTGTGGTTTGATGAGCATGCAGATGAAGTCCCACATCTTTCTAGGTCACTGCAGTTGCCAAACCTCAATTTAAAAGGCCACTATGATCAATTTTGGAGAACAAGGTACAAGCTTGTTTTCTGCCTCTGGCATCTCTGCGATAACTAGACTGATTTTTGCATGAAGAGTGGTATCAGATTCCATTATTCACCATCCAAAACTTAAATTAGTCAGTTCCCAGGAGAATTCAGGTCGTCTTGGATGCCAAAGGTGGTTCAACACCATATTAGTAGGTAACAGTGTTGTCTCCATAATTTTTTCCAACCCCATATAGATATACATATTTACATTATTTTTTTAAGGCAATATCACCTGTGAGTATATTCATATGTATCACTTGAAGGCTAAGATAACTTCTGTACTTTGAAACAGGAAAAAAAAGGGAGATCAGATTACACACACTGCTAAATGGCTGCAATATGCTACTTCCTGTATTTCATCTGTCTAGGTTTACACTTGAAGGCCTGTATGCAGACAGTATTAGAAACTTGAGTACACTTTGCAACAGAGTTTCAAGGATGTGCACAATATCTAATGTTTATGGCAAAAAAGTAAACCTCAGTGAATAGTGATGTTTTTGAGGCATAGAGTTACAACTCCCCATATCTATATTGCAACATTCTAATTCAGGACACTATGGGGTTTATTTTACTAAAGCTGGAGAGTCCAAAATCAACTCACTTCTGCATAGAAACCAATCAGCTTCCAGGTTTCATTGCCAAAGCCTCTTTGAACAAGCTGAGGTTAGAAGCTGATTGGTTTCTATGCAGAAGGGAGTCTGATTTTGGACTCTCCAGCTTTAGTAAATAAACCCCTATGTATCCTCCTGTGCGCTTTACTAAAATGTATTTTGTTTTTCTATCCTTGCAACTGCAACTGGTGTAGGTAACCTGAAAACAAATATATAAATAGGAAAATAGCTTACCCTGGCCATAGGTGTCCCCAAGAGTCTTATATTTTCATTTACAAGGTTCATGAGGCGTAACAAGGTTGGATCGTCATATTCAAACCTGTTATTTAGTAGCAAGGAAACTATTATATTGGCTACAGCAGCATTAAGGGTGATCCGATTGTCAAAGGGCTTCCCTTAAAATAAAAAGAGAAAAGCAAAAAAAAAAATCAACATTTATAAATTGATGCATTTAAAATGCAGCAAAAGGCAATGATACTGAGCTGGAAGTTACCCTCGGATGTAAGGTATACCCATGGGGTTTATTTTCTAAAATTCTTGAGTGCAAAATCTGGTACAGTTCTTCATAGAAACCAATCAGCCTCCAGGTTTTATTGTCAAAGGTTAATTAACCAGATCTTATCACACACCAGAGGATTCACACAGGAGAGAAGCCATATCAGTGTTCTGAATGTGGCAACGTTTTTACACGGAAGTCAGATCTTATCACACACCAGAGGGTTCACACTGGAAAGAAGCCATATCAGTGTTCTGAATGTGGGAATGTTTTTACACGAAAGTCCTATCTTATCAATCACCAGAGGGTCACACTGGAGAGTAGCCATTTTAATGCTCTCAATGTGACAAAACCTTTACAGTTAATGCCGATCTAATCTATCATTAGAGTATTCACAAATCTCAGCATAGATTAAATTCTGGAAGAAAAGAGATATTAAAGAAGTGTCAGGTGTCACAAGCTAGTTTCACATCCCCAATGTCATCCCACAAACTAGAGAAGAAGGGAAAAGATAAAATGCTACTTAAAAAGAAACAAACTAAAATCTGTGAGCAAACTGGAATGTAATGATCAGATGAACTGAGTTTAGTGCTTATGTCCATCAAGCACACAACTAGAAGGGATTTAAAATATTTTACTTTTTGACAAATGTTTTTTTAAGATAAGCATCAATAACTGAACAGTGTTCCTCATGATTCTCATCTTTATCTTTTTATGGAGCTTTGACTGAACATGCAATGCATTTTCATGATTCATCAACTGAGTTGTGTTTCCAAGCATTTTCTTCATTTCTGGATCCTGAGGTAATACATGACCAACACTGCCTCAGTACCAGAGACTAGGATGGGGTCAATTGTCATCTTACCAAGCCTCTGAAGCCTCAGTGGGGGAGTCCATTCTAGGTTCTTTTGACTATTGATACATCATCAGCCAGGCTTGAGGTCTCCAGCTAAGCCCACCTTGTCCAATCCACCCATTACATGTTCCATCTCCTCTCCCATTATCAATGCCTTCTTTCCACATTTCATCCCCTCTCATAGGCGAAAACTTCAGGCAGGTCTGCAGCTGTGACACCAGCTAGAAATAAGTTATTCAGTGAGAAAACAACATCCCAAGCTGATGCAGGCCTTCCAATACTGAGTTACTGCTTTTTTAGGGGATGTATATCAGCAGTAAAACTTAAGCCCAACTGGCCACTTGTGTTCCATGTGGTTCTGCCAAATGGGATTCCATCAGATGAAGATCAGAAATCCTTGTTACATTTTTTTCTCTTTCCAGCTATTACTCATCTCCATAGACTAATCACACAATACAACTGCCAGAGATCTGAAACTTAAAAGTGAAAAAGTGTGCTCAGCGCATATTCTCTGCCACACACTACATCAACGTGAGATGTCTCTACACAGGTGCAATATCACCCAAAAACTTATTCTCAACTCCTCGCAAGACCTCCTGCTCTCAATAAAATCATTGTCCCAACCCATAAATAATCCCATGCTCATCTCACAGGACTTTTCCAGAGCACCGTGACATCCTCTGGAACTCTCTACAAATAAAATTTATCAGAAAATAATATCGCCTGACAAAATCTCACTTTTAGGTGAGTCTCTGAAAACCTATATTTTCAAGGAAGCCTATCCTGCCCTCAGCTAATAATGGAATCTTCCACTCTTCCAACCAGTCCACTCACCAGATACAGTTACTACCCTTTGTACCACTAGCCCCTCCCTCCTAGATTGTAAGCTCCAATGAGCAGGGCCCTCCTTTCCCTCTTGTATTGAACTGTATTGTTCCTGTATTGTCTCCCATTATATTGTAAAGTGCTGAGCAAACTGTTGGCGCTATATATATCCTGTATAATAATAATAATAATAATAATACCAAAGCATTAAAATTAGAAACTGGTTGTCTACCATGCACAGCTACACCAGATTCTGCACTCTCCAGTTTTAGTAAATCAACCCCACTGCTGAAGGTTTGCAGATTTGCTGAATATTTTATATAAGTAAGAACTGCTCTGCCAGTATAAGGTGCCATTTGTTACTATTAATCTCATGAGTCCCCAAGTTTTCTCTCATCTTCACAAGTCATCAGATATATTATTTCCATTTTGACATTGTCTCTGTTCTGCACATCATATGTGTTTTGTGTTTGTATTCTACTCTGACATTGTATACATTGTTTTTTCTACTCTAACATTTTATACTGATAGGGCTTTACCCCAATTGGTAGAAAATGTTAATGCATTTTATTTTGTATTTCCTTTTTTTTTTTATTGGAAATAAAAACGTTTGAAAATAATGCATTTTGCCTATGTAAAATTTTCCATAATTTGTGCTACTGAGTCCAGGTGCCATTTTTAAAACAATATTGGGATAAACAACCACAGTCCTGTGCTGTTTTAAAATAATGCACCAGGAACTTAAGTAGTTAAAACAATTTTTATTTTAGTCTGCAGTCAGCCAAAATTGTTTTAGTGCCTGCTCTTAAAGGTTGTTTACAGAACACAATAGCTTAAGGTGAAATTTAGTTTCAGTGAGTCAGTGTGCATGAAAGGACATGGAAATCCCATGTCCTGTGTTGAATGTTCATATATGAAACACAGATTGTATAACTATAATACAATGATAAAAAAGGTTTAAAACCATAACACAAAGAATATAACTCAAATGTAACTGATACAAAACCTTTATAGCTCACATTTAAAAATGCTAGTAAAGTATGTCCATTTTTAGAAACACCAATTTAGAATGTTGTGTTTTTATGTAAGTGTCTTCTTAGTTATCTGCTTACGTTGTGTTGTATATTACTTCAGTGTTCAGTGTAAGCAATATTTTGCTTCAGAAACATGATGGAGGTGTGAGGAGGAGTAGTTGTGACAGTACAACATTATGGCTGCTCCAAAGTTACACAGCCATCTGCTATGGTGCCTAACAGGAAAAACAAAATTTATTTTATGGGTCTGCCATTTTTAAAAAAATTGGGAAAAGAAACAGTCCTGTGAGCCCCTCAAGTTCTATACTAGACCAGACTGGTAAAACAATTTTTATTTTAGTCTAATCAAAAAAATTCATAAGCCCTCCCTTAAAAGAAACAATAGCTTAAGCCACTGTTTAGGGTTATGGCATGAAAGGGACATTTTGTCCTAAATGTTCATATATGGAAACACAGATTGTATAACTATTACCATGGGGGATTTAAGAGCATAACACAAAGAATATAACTCAAATGTAGGGATACAAAACCTTTGTTAGCACACATCAAAAAATGCTAGTCAAGTATGTCCTTTTTAGAAACACTGGCCTGTTAGTCTGTCATGCTGAATGAGAATTTAGCAATGTTGTGTTTTTTGTAAGTAGGGTGGGGTACCCCTACATATGTTTGCTAGAAACATGATGGAGGTTGAGGAGGAGTTCCCCTGTTAAAAACATACCAGATGGCTGCTCCAAAGTACGGAATTCACAGGGATCCAACTGCTATTGCCTAACAGGAAAAACTTTGGGGTTTTTTATGGGGTGACCTAGACACACAGACAAAACAAAACAAAAAAAAACAAAAGAAAAGAAACAAGTGTCTTGCCCCTCAATTCTATACCCCATAGACACTGGGTGGGGACCCCTTATTTTTTACATGGATTCCCCAGATTCTGATTAAGCCCCCCCCCCCACACTTTCAGACCCCCATGACCACTGGTTTAGAGTTATGAGAGAGAGAGATCTTTAAACTGGGACTAATCAATAATATCTTACCTTCATAGGATCTAAAGGTTTGCACTAAGCATTCCGCTTCCTCATTGATTTTGTCTTCTATACCTTTCTTCCCCATTCCATAATCCCGTAGAGTTGATAGAGTGAATCTTCTCATGGCCTTCCAGCTTTCACCATTGGAAAAGACGATGCCTGATATATTTAAAACATATCACAATAATCTTTGTACATATTGTTTAATATTGTTTAATAGAGTGCTGTGTTATCATACATTTCCTCACACCAAAACGTGTGAAACCAATACTTTTTTTATAAAAAAAAATATTAATTTTTGCTCATAATGTGCCAGAAATTCTTTGCGGACCCTTCACCCAATATATCAAGTCAAATTAGTGGAATTCGCTCAAGATTCATTCAGTGAAAAATAACATTCTCTGACATTTGTCCAGTACTGTTTTTAAACAGGAAAATATATTTATTGTAACGTTTACACTTTGTCAGAAAAGAACGAATGTTACTTTCCCTGCTCATTCACTTTCCATTCTCTCAACAAACATTAATTCAAGATTTGTCTGGTTTGAGCTTCAGAATCATTTTTTGAAACACAGTTTAAGCACCATGGAAAGCGTTTGGCAGCAAATCTGCCTGTAGACTTAATCTTGTTTTTTTACTGGTACCGTACATGTGAGATTTGCCAGCAATCAATGGTAGCTGCATTTTACTGGCGTACATTCATTATATTGTAAATATGTATGTGATTATGAAATGCAGGATCAGTCCCATAAAATCTTACTATAATAAATTACTATGATAGTATATCTATGGTTAAAATGTAAAATCAAATATTCATTTCCACATTTTATTTCAATTATTTCTAGGCCTACTCCTATTAATATGAACGATCTTGAAGTCCCCCCCACACATTTACTTCCTTGAATTCTGTGACACGTAGTCACTATGCCCTGTGAGTAGCACTGAAAATCCAGTGTCCAAACACAAAAAAAAACGTCTCAGATTTCCAAACTTTATCATCCAATAGGAAGGAATCCTATTTCATCCCGTGATACCTCAAAGAAAAAGATATATAGATACTCTAGTGCATTACCTTTATACAAAAAATATATTCACTCTGTGCAAAAACACAACCTAAGAAAATGTGCAAAACAAATGCAGTAAGCCATGTGTGAACAACCAACAAAATGGCCGCGCGACACTGCCTCGACACTTCCGGTCTGCGTACGTGCATCTCGTGTGCGTTAGGGGTGTGACGTCGAGACGCACGTACGCAGACCGGAAGTGTCGCCGCGGCCATTTTGTTGGTTGTTCACACATGGCTTACTGCATTTGTTTGATAGAACTCACATAGGAGCCATGTTTGGAGCTGGAAATGTGGAATTTTAAATGTAAGTGGCTATTAAAATCTTTTCCTATACTTTGGATATGAGTCTTGAGACCCTTCTTGTCTTTTGAGGACCTTGGAAAATATCTTTGGAGAGGAAATAGAAGATCTCTGATTGAATGCTGATTATATATATACAGAGGGTAATAGTATGTAATACTATTGGTGTTGGTGGATGCACAGTGTTGCAGTGTTCACGGAGTGGTCACAGTTTAATTTATATGTGCACTATATATATTAA